AAAATTAAATGTAATTTATTTTGAATTTGGAACAAATAAAGAGTTAAAAAAAAAAAAAAAAATAGGACCACTCTAATGTCAAAGTTTTTTTTTACAAAGTTGCTTGAAATTAGCTCAGCTATAACTTTGCCGAAGAATGCATACCTTAATTTCTTCAAACAAAAAAGTTAGATCTTTTATTTTAATGATAATAAGAACCACCCTAGAATTCATTATCATAAATATAAGTTGCAATTTCAGGCTCAAAACATATCCTTCCACTTAAATATGCATTCTGGACCACTGTGCAATGGTATATGGCCAAAATATACAGTTTTTTTTATTCTTAATAGGCTATTGTTTGCTGCATTGTGAAAATGTTTCAGTCCACTAGAGTACGCCATGCGTTGTCATTATTGGATTGAAGTTCGTGTGAATTTCTGTTTTTTTTTATTAGAATGTAAGAATTGTCGATCCGTCTTGATCACTTCAGACAAAGCAGCCCCTTCCGACGAAGTTATTGTTCCTGTAGGTTTCTTTTCTCCTGATCACGAGCGATCATCTATCCACGTAGGAACTATCCAGCTCCTGGACAGTTATAGCACCGCAATTCTGTCACAAATCAATGGCCTGTTGAATGAACCCTGGATCTCTGCTTTGAGAGTGCTCGTGATACAGCTTTTTTCCTCTCAACTGCACCCGAACTTTTAGTCAAGGAAGTGCATCATCACCCTGCTTTAGTTATCGTGATCGAAAATAATATTCTTCATGATTTAATCAGCACTCCAAATGCAGTGTCATATGACTTCCGTAGAGCTGACCATCGCAGTATTGTCCATGTGCTATCTAACCTAGATTCGGAGCATATTATAGATCCTGTACACGTCAACATTGCTGCACAAACCTTTTCTCACGTCTTGGCATATGTCATTGACAGGCAAGTTTTCAAAAAAGATCATCCATATCCCGTGGATGACGAAAGATCTTCGCTCGTTGAAAAGAACTAAGAAGGCTGCTCTCAGAAGATTTATTTAAATTTAAATTCCGCACACTGCCGCTGAAATGCTACTATGTCAGACTCAACCACGAGTATAAGCGGTTAAGTCGTCTCTGTTTTCAAAGCTACCAAAGAAGGATTCAACGGCGGCTAAAATCACACCCGAAATCCTTCTGGAACTTCGTAAATGAGCAACGCAGGGAAGTCGGCTTACCCTCTTCCATGATTTTTATTGGTGAAACTGCTGGCAATCAACAAAACATTTGCAGCCTGTTCTCAGCTAATCTCATTACTTCCGCGACCAGTAATGTTCATGTGGTCAACCAAACGCTTAGCGTTGTCGACGCCACTACAGATACGATTTCTAGAGCAGCATCTAAACATCTAAACTTAAGACTTCAGCTAAGGCTGGAACCCGATGGTGTTCCGTCGATTATTCTTAAAAAGAACATAACTTGTCTTTTAGATCCACTGCGCCGCATATTCCAGCTCTCTCTCTTTCCAGCGGAATCTTTCCGTCTTACTGGAAGACTGCGGATATGTTTCCTGTTCATAAAAAGGGAAGCAAACGCGTCGTAAACAACTACCGGGCAATCACATCGCTGAGTGCTGTATCAAAACTTTATGAATTGGTTGTCATAGAGTCCCGAAATGCGCATTGCAAGCAATATCTAAGTATAGATCAACACGAATTCATAGCTGGGCGTTCCACAACTACGAACCTGCTGTGCCAAACGTCTTACATCACAGACAGTTTGATTGCTCGGACCCAAACGGACGTTATTTACACAGATCTTACGGCAGTCTTCGTTAAGCTAAACCATGAAATTGCGGTCGCTAAGCTTGATAGGCTAGGGATCCGGTGGAAATCTTTTGAGATGGTTTCATTCATACCTCACGGAGCGCTAACTGACAGTAACTTTGGGTACTTGTCGCTCAGCAAGTTTCTGTGCAAAGTCCGGTATACGTTCACCATGTTATGACAGGGCCACGATTAACGTTTTCAGACGATCTGAAAGTTTTTCTGCGCATCCGCTCACTCGCCGACTGCCGTTCTCTCCGAAATCGCATTGACATCTTTGCTGATTGGTGTATGCAGTAGATAGAGTTAGTGTACAATAGAAACGAGTAGAATCGTGTGAGCGTGAAGCGTGATAGACCGTATGTAAACGGAATCTGATCGGTTTGGGAATTTCGATAGAGCTAGAGATTTAAATATGAGGTACCTAAGCTTGTTGACGGCATTCTTATGACGGACTGTGGAGAGAGTGGACGACGAGCAGAAGCGGCACAAGCGGACCAACAGAGGGAGCAGCAGATTCGTAGAACCGTGACTGAGGCTGTAAACCTCGGTCCGGTTACTACATCGGACTACCAGCTGAGCGGCAGATTCATGGAACCGTGACCGTGGCTGGAAACCTCGGTCCAGTCACGACAATGGCGCAACTCGGTAGATGAGAACCATCCTCTTTCTTGCGAGGATGCTACTTTCCCTCCCTGAGAGGGTAGATAAAACTCCACCGACAGGGTAGATGAAATTTTTCCGAGAGGGTAGATGAAATTCCCCCAAGAGGGCAGAAGAAATTCCTCCGAGAAGGTTGAAGAAATTCCTCCGAGAGGGTGGATGAAATTCTCCCAAGAGAAATCCTTCCGAGAAAATAGAAGAAATTTCTCCGAGAAGGTAGAAGACATTCCTCTGAGAGGGTAGAAGAAATTCCCCCTAGAGGGTTGATAAAATGCGCCGAGAGGGTTGATAAATTGCTCCCGATCTTCAATTAAGGAGGGTAGAAGAGGGGAAGAATGTAGTAGATAGAGTTAGTGTGGAATAGAAAGCTATGTCTCAGAACATCCCGGCGTCGCCGACTGGGATTGAACCCAGGCCTGCTGGGGTGAGAGATAATCACGCTTACCACTACACCACCGGCGCCGCTGTGTGTAAAATTTTAGACTTATACATTTTTAGTAACTTGACAATGCTTTCCTTGTTATTTTCGTTTGTAACTGTAGTATATGTAGTCTGTATAATCTGTACTTTTTTTTACAACACATCATTGGGACTATTTATAATCTGTACTTTGTTGCACATTGTTTGCTTTGTACCAAGCTACCGTTTCTTTCGAGTAGTCGGATCAAAATAGTACTGGACCATCATGTTGACGGATCATGGGCCGCAGACGCCGATTCAAACACTCCCGAACGTAAATTTCAGTGTTCATCGTCTCTTTCGTCAAAAATGGCTTTGACAACTTGCCACACTCACATATCGCTTACCGAACCATGGTCTTCTCACCAAATTTTTCGGTAAAAATTGACTTATCGGCATCGTCAATTTCCTGACCACCACGGACTGTGTAACATTGGTCTCCCGGAAGTGTTTTGTAGTCAAATTTGACGTTTGTTTCATCGTCCATGGTCCGCGCCAATTTTCCACACAGCAGGCTATATATAGCTTCCGAGCCCTCGATTTGACGGATGCGGCTTGTTTCTGACTCCGTTTTGGCTTCTTCTGCTTCCTGAACGTTTTCAGCCCGTTTCTTGCCTTGGCACGTTAGGCGTTGCTCTTCGATATTCTCAGTTTTTTGGCCAAATATCGAACAAAGGCACTTTTCTTATTGGCGAAAGCTTGGTGATCTTCTGGTCCACTTTTTGGTCCACCGGTCCCGGTTTACGGCCAGATTCCGATGTGTCTTCTTAGGTAACTTCTTCGCCAAACTTCCGGATGGCGGTTTGGACTGCTCCGATACTTACTTCCTCCATTTTCGACATGTTCCTTATTGATAGGTTGTGAATAGTGCACCATTTATGCATGATCTGTTTGTGCTTTTCGAGGAAATGCCTCGCATTTTGATGATTTTGTAAAAAAAAATGCACTTTGCGCACACAAACTTGTTGAGCAATAAGTAAACAGCAAGACACATCGATGAACAGATGATAAACTTCATCGGGGTAGAAATGGCGGTGAGTAGAAAGTGGGCTTATACTTTTTGGGACACCCTATAAGTATCAACTTGATTACATTTTATTATTAATGAGTTTTTGATTTTTAAACTTTTGTGTAAATATTGATGTTTACCATACATTAATGAAGATTTCATTATAACTGCTACTCGAACTGCTAGGGCCTATATATATATGTCGCCGGAGGCCAAAGAAAATGCATCCACTGCATCCATCCACTTCAAAGCTGAAATGTTACAATTTTTAATTTAATATTTTGCAAACTGTATTTGAATTGCAAATCTTACAAAACAGTGGGCCTTATCCACTTAATAGGCCTCCAGAGAGTGAGGTTATGTAGTTGGGAATTCTGTGTCTCACTAAAGTTATTAATTGTAACTAATTACTTAACAAACAAACTAATAATCGTTACTTACATATGATGTGAATGATTTAGATCATCAAAGTTCAAAGTAAAATCAAACTATTATAAATTTTTAACAATTTATTAGAAGAAAAATAATACGAGGTCACACTCAATCAATAGTGAAGTCTTTTTCTTCGGTATTTGATCTACAAGATTTTCAATCAAATTTTCCAAAGAGGATACTGTTTTCTACTAACTGCTATGCGTGGTGCTATGAAAAGAACTGCAACTTTCAAAGAGCGTTTATTTATATATTCGGACCACCCTAATGCAAAAACAGTGCTCCAAGGGATGAACTTGAGTCTGTTATTAAGTGTCGTGCTTCGCCGGGGCATCATTTGAATTTCACGCCCCAACAATGTATTTCCCATGGTCCGTTGAATCGCTGGTTCACGCTGTATGGTCGTCATATTTAGGGTCTTGTGTGTAGATTTGGAGCAGTAAGGGGTAAGACAAATTACCAGTTTATGACGGTCATTTGTGGTGGTTCCTTTGTATTGGTCGACGATCGACCTCGCCTATGATGGTGATTAATTTGTGTTTGTAAAATAAATGATTCGTTCGCGCAAATTTCTGCAGTTTCGCCATTTTACGGTTCAGAAAAAAATTATGTGATTAAATTCAACTAATCCGCTGATTTCCCCCTCTTTCTCCTCGCAGCAAGTGTTCGGCTACGAACCGGACGTAGACTATCCGGCGTTTGATAGGATTCCCTCCGGCCTGACGTTCCGCTGTTCGGACAAACTACCCGGCTACTACGCGGACGTGGACACGCGCTGTCAGATCTGGCACTGGTGCCTCCCGAATGGCTACATGTTTTCCTTCCTGTGCCCGAATGGAACCGTGTTCAATCAAGTATTTCACCCGAACGATTTCAGAATGCTTGATCCTATTTTTTAGAGATTTGTAACTAATGGGATGTTTATTTTTTTCAGGCTCACCGAGTGTGCGATTGGTGGACCAACGTGGACTGCGGTGGATCGGTTGGATTGTACGACAACAATAACGAACTTTATCGGGACGTGGAAGGAAATCTGATAGCTGGATAATGGCGTGCGATTATTTGCGAAATTCCTATAATTTATTGATGTTAAGTTTTAATCGTATCTAGCGAAGACAGTGACGTTAAAATTTACCTTATCTTTTGTGACTATGAGAAATGACTTACCGATATACCTTTTAGTGTGTTGTCTTGACAAAACTAATGAAGATAAATGAGATTTTTGTGTTGATAGGTAAATTTAATAAAGTTAATTTTTTTGTTTGTTTTTGTAAATACGAACGTGACATAATAAAAATGTAAAAACATGTACTTTAAAATGCGTTTTAATATTTCGCTGATCCTCCCTGACTTGGAAACAATATTGATATTGCGTTTTTTTATTTTACAATTTACCTTTAATTTCACATACTCGTTTAGTTAATGAAACTGATATTGTCTGGGGCAGTTAATTAATGTCTTATTTTTGCGGATCCAGACTCAAATGGACTCCATTAAATTAAAAATCTTACCTTTTGGACCTGTAGGATAATTTCCTCGGTCTTGTGGGTCTATGTGAGAGAGCTTACGGACCGACATACATGTTAATAATTCCGCGCAAAGTGACAGTTCAACTAACATTTTCAGCCTTAGAAGCCACCTTTTTCCAGCATTGTGTTGTAGCAAAATAGTATTCGAGAGCGTTTACTCAACTTTTTCACAACCATTACTCAATTGGTCAATTGCAATGAATTACTAGCAGCTTATAAACGCTAATGTCACTTCTATGCAAATATTAATTAACTTTCAGCTTGTAGCTGCACAACAAAGCTAATAAAGTGAATATATTACTCATTTGATGGATACTACACAACCAACCACTCTTGCTGTTTTACAGCTCTTACTCCACTTCTTTACGAAGCTGAACTAACTAGTCGAGAAAGATGATTCATGTGTACTATTATAAAGCCTCTACTCAGCGATCTTATTGTAGAAGGCCATGTAGATTTTTTTACGTCAGTTCGAAGTGTCTAGGTTTGCAAATGCGGTCGTCGTCTTGATTTCGAGTCCAGGTTCCGGTGCATGATAATAATTGGGTGGTGTGCTTATAACTAATTTCGAGTAACTTGATTCGCAGCTAAATAAAATCAATCCCTTCTACTCAGAGGTATGGAGAAACCTCTACAAACTAGGAACTCAGCGATGTACGAGTTCGAAAAAGTAGTGTAAATTTCCGTTACTATGATGCACATAAAGTGTATCTCAAAATTGATCGTCTTCTTCTTCTTATTCGCATTTCAAGCTTAGCGCATATTAGCTTATTGCGTGCTCTCAACTTAGTGTTCTAAATGCACTTCCACAGTTATTAATTGAGAGCTTTCGATGCCAATACCAATGCATGAATTTTGTATATTGTGTGGCAAGCACAATGATACTCTATGCCCAGGGAAGTCGAGAAAATTTCCAACCCGAAAGATTCCCTCGACCGGACCGGGAATCGAACCCGCCGCCTCCGGCTTGGTAATACCGTGCCTTTACTGACTAGGCTATGAGGCCCCCCAAATTGATCGTACAGCTGTAACTAAATTTTAGAAAAACGGCTCTAAAGCACAAGTTAAAAAGGAATGTCTCTGACTCAGCATACATTTATCAATTATTGGTTCAGTATTGGGCATATTTGGTTGAGTTTACAAAACGTTAGAGCAATTTAAGAAAACGCCTTTTTCATGAAAAACCATATTTTCATGAAATAAAATGATCGTAGCTTCTTGAAAATTTGGTCATTTTTAGTCGTAATAAAGATCATTCATATGCCACTAATTTTGATAAAATTCGTCCACTGGGTAAAAAGCTAAAAGTCGAGCGTTTTACTGAAACAAATCTAGCTTCATACAGGCTCTTCCAATAAAGACCAAAACTATAGCAAAAAACCAATAAATATCTGTTCAACAACCAGCTACGATTTAAAAAAATATATCTATTCACCATGTTTCAAAAAATTGTCTTCTAGGGTGTACGATAAATTTTGAGATAAACGGTAAATGAAGCGCCGTATATCATACAAGATTACATTATACATCGTGTACATTTATGAGACAATCAATGAAATACTCCAAATATTGTATGCAACCATCCATCTTTGTAAGTAACATAACCGAAGTGTGCTCAAAATGCCTATCGATTACGCTTCCTACGTTATAAATAATACTTAGCACATTATGTTTGCAAACAAATCCCATTCGCTTTCAGTAACGTTCTTCTATTTGTTTATTCAAAAACTGAATAATTTACTACCACAATCTTATCTCGTCGATGTAGGGTTAGCTTTAGGCATGTAGTTTATAAATGATGTTCAATTTTATCGTTATCTCCCACTGTCAATCGTCGATAAAAGGCAATACAACGGTAATGCAACGTTCAACTAACTAAAATTTTAGAAACATTGTCAAAAGTATAGTGAATTATGGCTCCGTAAAGTTTCGGCTGTTGAGCCTTTAGCAATAAATTAATTTTTGAAAAAAAAAATATTCTTGTTTAAATCACATCAGTCTCTGCTCCGCAAGCAAGTACAGATCAAAATAATTGTGCCAACCACACAGTATGATACGCATTTTAGGTAAAATAATGCCTAGTCATTTTCAATTATACTCCTAGCGGCAAGCGTGAAATGAAGAATCAGAATAAATATTAACGAATCAAGATAAGTGACAAAGCGGATATCTGTACATGTACATAGGGCTGAGTTATATGTAGACTGATAACGTGTACGGCAGCCATCCCGCTTTCGGATTCAGTTGTTATCGGACGGGCAGAGTCTTCGCATCGCAATAGTGACATTAGTAATGGATCGTTGGACAGGAAAAGTTGCCATAGTAACCGGTGCCAGCTCGGGCATCGGTGCTGCCATTGCCAAGGATCTGGTCAAAGCCGGGATGGTTGTAGTTGGATTGGCTCGTCGCGTGGAACGCGTTGAAGCACTCAAATCGGACCTTCCGGATTCGATTAGGAGTCAATTGCACGCGGTCAAGTGCGATATTTCCAAGGAGGAAGATATCCTGCAAACGTTCAAATGGGTCGAGGAGAAGCTCGGTGGAGTGGACGTGCTGATTAACAACGCCGGTGTCGCTCGGCAAATGTATCTGCTTGAAAAGGGTAATACCCAAAAGCTGCGAGAAGTGATGGATACAAATGTGATGGGATTGGTGATGTGCAGTCGGGAAGCTTATCAATCGATGAAGAACCGTTCCGTCGATGGACACATTGTGCATATCAACAGTGTTGCTGGTCATAAAGTGGTCGATTTCCCGCAGCTGAATATCTATTCTGCATCGAAGTATGCAGTCACGGCTATTACGGAAACGATGAAGAACGAGCTGAGGAATGCGGGAACCAAGATCAAGGTTACGGTATGTGTGCTCTGAAGTGATGTAGTTATAATGAAATGTGCTGACGAAACTTTTTAAACATATTTGCAGAGCATCAGCCCCGGAGGCGTCCGAACAGAAATCCTACCGGAAGCATTTAAGACTGGAGAATTTCCGCTGCTGGAACCGGAAGACATTTCGAATGCCGTTCTGTATGTGCTGGGAACTCCTCCCCGGGTGCAGATTCACGAATTGATGATCAAACCAGTTGGAGAAAATTTTTAGATTTTTTTTGGTATAAACAGTGTTTGCTTAATTTATCAAATACATTTACCCAGCAACAGATGCGTTAATTAATTTACCCTAAAACGATAATAATTAATAGTTTGTAAGCTAGGTCTGGCGAAGACACATCGTAGTAGCCCGTCGGTTTAAAATGTTAAACAAAGCAAATCAGTACATGAGCAGTGCATGACGCTCTTGTAACGACAATACCTAGTATTCCGTTTTTTAGATTCTCGTAAGTAGTCGAAATGCAAAAGCTATACTGCAAGTGCCCCGGTAAAACGAAGCTAATTTCGATGGTCCCCCTTTTTAATCGGTTGATATGGAAGTGAAACATAACTTTGTACATCGGTAGTTCCAATAGATTTGTCTGAATGTCATGATATTCAATCCAAGCTGATCAATTCATTCAGTTCATATCGTTTGAAAAACATGCAAAAGTTGACAATTAAGAAGAGACGGTTCAATAGCAAATCTGTGATGATGTAAGATTTTCCCAGTATATAATTTTGTTTGTTCTGATTAGATAATTGATAAGAAAGAAACAACAATAAAAAAACAATACGTATTTGTCTCATAATCAAGAAGTTATTTCCTAAAAAGAAAACTATTCACTCAGATTTCAGTACCTCCTATCTGATTCCTTCTTAAAAGAACAGTGAAAACTGGTTCGATTTTGACAGTTCCTAGTTTATCACTGAAAAGCATCATAGTTGTTGAGGCAGATTTCAAAACGCATTCCGTTTCATCACCTTTCAGGAAGCCCCCCCACCGCTTGCGATGATCCACTTCCATCAAGACTCCAAACCGAATGAAAAACGTTCCATGATCAGCTGAATCTCTTGGGCGACGTACAAATCCCCCGATATGTAACATGACAAGGCGCTGTCAATTCGATTTAGGAGAATATACGGCGATTGTGGTTTGAAAAAATTGGATTGTATTGTGGCAACATCAATAACAAATTTTGACACATGCACACTGTCAAGCGCAGACAAAGCTTAGTGTTGCCAGCAGGGTGCCTTCCATTCATTTTGGGTAAAAAAATGTTTTATTAAATTATGGAATAATAAGATATTATAGTAAAATTTTGTCTGTGTAAGCAACAAGAAAAGACTGTGAAGTTTGTGTTTGACACATAATACCTGCCAATTTTGCTACACGAGTGTCGCAACAAGCATTTTTGTCATTTATCTCACCCACTCTTCGCTCTTCTCTCTTCGCGAAGAGGCGATTAGAAAATCGCTCATTGTGACTCTGCCAAAGCTAAATTTGCAGGTTTTATGCGTCAAACACAAACATTACAATCTTTTCTTGTTATTTACACATACGAAATATCATCATAATATCTTATTATTCTATAATTTAATAAAACAGTTTTTTAGCCAAAATGAATGGAAGGAACCCTGATTGCCAGTAATTATAAAGATCAGAAAAAATGTGATCATGTTTGCCAAACAGTGCCAATGACTGTGCCCAGATGCGATATACAGACAGACAGACAGACAGACAGACAGACAGACAGACAGACAGACAGACAGACAGACAGACAGACAGACAGACAGACAGACAGACAGACAGACAGACAGACAGACAGACAGACAGACAGACAGACAGACAGACAGACAGACAGACAGACAGACAGACAGACAGACAGACAGACAGACAGACAGACAGACAGACAGACAGACAGACAGACAGACAGACAGACAGACAGACAGACAGACAGACAGACAGACAGACAGACAGACAGACAGACAGACAGACAGACAGACAGACAGACAGACAGACAGACAGACAGACAGACAGACAGACAGACAGACAGACAGACAGACAGACAGACAGACAGACAGACAGACAGACAGACAGACAGACAGACAGACAGACAGACAGACAGACAGACAGACAGACAGACAGACAATAAGGATCTCTTCATCGAAGCTCTAAGGGTAGACAACAGCGTCCCGGGCCTAAGCGCGAATGAGTTGACCGAATTATTAGCAAGGGCATGTGACACAACTATGCCGAGAAAACTGGAGCCAACGAACAGGCGGCGTCCAGCCTACTGGTGGAACGAGGAAATTAGCACCCTCCGTGCTACTTGTCTTCTAGCCAGAAGGCGTGCTCAGAGAGCAAGAACAGAAGCAGACAGAGAGGAGCGCAGGGTGGTGTTCCGAGAGGCCAGGGCTGCACTGAAAGCTGAGCAAGTCAAATAGTTTCAAGGAGTTGTGCCGCGATGCCGATGCCAACCCCTGGGGCAACGCATACCGAGTTGCGATGGCGAAGATCAGAGGCCCAACGATGCCGGTTGAAATGTGTCACAACAAGCTGAAAGTCATCGTGGAGGGACTTTTCCCACAGCATGACCCAACGAACTGGCCACCTACACCATATGGCGAGGTAGATGAAGACAACGTTGAACAAGTCTCCAACGAGGAACTCATAGCAGCAGCGAAAGGGTTGAAAGCGAATAAAGCTCCCGGCCCGGATGGAATTCCCAACGTGGCGTTGAAGGCGGCGATCCAGACGTTCCCGGACATGTTCAGGATGGTGCTGCAGAAATGTCTGGACGATGGTCAGTTCCCTGATAGGTGGAAGGTACAACAGCTTGTGCTGTTGCCGAAGCCCGGAAAACCGCCGGGGGATCCTGCATCGTATAGGCCAATATGCTTGCTGGATACTGTAGGAAAGCTCTTAGAGAGGATCATCCTCAACAGGCTGACTAAATGCACGGAGAGTGAACACGGATTGTCGGAGAGACAGTTTGGATTCCGGAAAGGGAGATCGACGGTGGATGCAATTCGGACAGTGATTGACAGAGCCGAGAAAGCTTCCAAACAGAAGCGGAGAGGAAATCGATACTGCGCAGTGATTACGATCGATGTCAAGAATGCATTCAATAGCGCCAGCTGGGAGGCCATCGCCAAGGCGCTCCATAGAATGAGGGTTCCAGGCTACCTCTGCAGGATTCTAAGTAGTTATTTCCAGAACCGGGTCCTTGTCTACGTGACAGACACGGGGCAGAAATCGCTTAGAATCACGGCGGGGGTTCCCCAAGGCTCCATTCTAGGTCCCACGCTGTGGAACGGAATGTACAATGGCGTGCTGACGCTCAAGCTGCCCAAAGGAGTTGAGATCGTTGGCTTTGCGGACGATGTCGTCTTGACGGTAACCGGTGAGACGCTGGAAGAAGTGGAAATGTTGGCGGCTGAGGCGATAGATACGATTGGTAACTGGATGCAAGGAGCGAAGCTGCAGATAGCCCACCACAAAACAGAAGTGATGTTGGTCAGTAACTGCAAAGCAGTGCAGCGGGCAGAAATTACCGTTGGAGAGCACACCATTGCTTCGAAGCGCATGCTTAAGTATCTGGGAGTGATGATCGACGACCGGCTAAACTTTAATAGCCACATCGAATATGCTTGCGAGAAGGCGACGAAGGTCATCAACGCAATAGCCAGAATCATGCCGAACAATTCTGGTCCAAGCAGCAGCAAGAGACGTCTTCTGGCTAGTGTTTCCTCATCAATACTAAGGTACGGAGGTCCAGCCTGGATTGAAGCGCTGAAAACGAAGCAGAACCAAAGGAAATTGAGCAGTACGTTCCGGCTCATGGCCATGCGAGTCGTGAGTGCGTACAGAACCATTTCGATGGAGGCAGTATGCGTTATCGCCGGTATGATCCCAATCGGCATCACCTTGGCGGAGGACTACGAGTGCTATATGACGAGAGAAACCAGAGGAGTACGAAAAATGGTGAGAACGGAGTCGATGGCTAAGTGGCAGCAGGAGTGGGATGCAGCAGAGAACGGTAGATGGACACACAGGCTAATACCGACTCTTTCGACCTGGGTGAACAGGAAGCATGGAGAAGTCAACTTCCACTTGACGCAGTTCCTGTCTGGTCATGGCTGCTTCAGGAAGTACCTGCATCGGTTCGGACACACAACGTCACCCTTCTGTCCGGAGTGTGGGAATGTGGAAGAATCACCAGAGCACGTGGTCTTCGAATGTCCTAGATTTGATGATGTGCGAGAGGATATGCTCGCCCTTAGCACGGAGAATGTCGTCGAAGAAATGTGTCGAGAGGAGGGCACCTTTAACGCCGTCAGCAGAGCAGTAACGCAGATCATGTCAGCGCTGCAGCGAAAATGGCGGGAAGACCAACTAGAAAGTAGTAATGTGCTCACACAAGTGCGAACTGAAAGCCGAAGCCGGGAGAACTCTCCGTCAGAGTAGGCTGTATCCACCACCAGGGATAACCGAGTAGAACGTGACGCTGGGAGATAAATGGCTCACAAATTGGAGAGACGATCAGCGAACTGGAAGCGCCAATTAGCTGAGGTAAAGTGAGGTGCGTAATGCACGGCCCCCTCCGAAGTAATACGACAAGTGGTAAGGCGTCTAAGGAGGTTTTAGTGCGGTAAGAATCCCACACACCGTGTCACCGCGACTGTGCGCCCAGTCGTCAAGCGATGGCACGATGGCCTTTTTGAAGGTTTCCTCCTTGCCAAAAAAAAAAAAAAAAAAAAAAAAAAAAAAAACAAAAAAAAAAAAAAAAAAAAAAAAAAAAAAAAAAAAACAGACAGACAGACAGACAGACAGACAGACAGACAGACAGACAGACAGACAGACAGACAGACAGACAGACAGACAGACAGACAGACAGACAGACAGACAGACAGACAGACAGACAGACAGACAGACAGACAGACAGACAGACAGACAGACAGACAGACAGACAGACAGACAGACAGACAGACAGACAGACAGACAGACAGACAGACAGACAGACAGACAGACAGACAGACAGACAGACAGACAGACAGACAGACAGACAGACAGACAGACAGACAGACAGACAGACAGACAGACAGACAGACAGACAGACAGACAGACAGACAGACAGACAGACAGACAGACAGACAGACAGACAGACAGACAGACAGACAGACAGACAGACAGACAGACAGACAGACAGACAGACAGACAGACAGACAGACAGACAGACAGACAGACAGACAGACAGACAGACAGACAGACAGACAGACAGACAGACAGACAGACAGACAGACAGACAGACAGACAGACAGACAGACAGACAGACAGACAGACAGACAGACAGACAGACAGACAGACAGACAGACAGACAGACAGACAGACAGACAGACAGACAGACAGACAGACAGACAGACAGACAGACAGACAGACAGACAGACAGACAGACAGACAGACAGACAGACAGACAGACAGACAGACAGACAGACAGACAGACAGACAGACAGACAGACAGACAGACAGACAGACAGACAGACAGACAGACAGACAGACAGACAGACAGACAGACAGACAGACAGACAGACAGACAGACAGACAGACAGACAGACAGACAGACAGACAGACAGACAGACAGACAGACAGACAGACAGACAGACAGACAGACAGACAGACAGACAGACAGACAGACAGACAGACAGACAGACAGACAGACAGACAGACAGACAGACAGACAGACAGAC